TTGACCCCGCTCATGCCCAATCACTTTTCTTGCCCAAAATTGGGGGGTTGGGACAGGACCTCCGTCCTTGCGCGAAGAGAGGACGGAAAGGGGCATTCGCACGCCTTGGTGATCGGGTCGAGTTTCAATTTCGGCTACCCCATGAGGCGGTAGACTTGAACAAGGGGCTTTTCTTTCGGGCAATTCAAGCACCAAGTCTACCTGGCAGTCATCAAAGGAACCCTGCATTGGACTCCCTCCATGGTTGGTGGACGCAAATGCCAACTATGTGAATGTCCACCAAAAGGATTTCAACTGAACATCATGTTTGAATGCTGCTGCTATATGTTTACCAGTGCTTTGTCACGCTGTGCCATCATATTCAAGGCATCATACAAGTTGGCAGCCTGGCACTGGCATCGCACTTGCGCTTGCAGGATAGCAAAGGCAGCCCGAGAAGGCATGGCACGCTTTGCCATGAGAACTCAGTCCTGTGATGGACAGGATTCACGGAGGGTGTTATTTCCACAAACTATTTCCATGGCGGTTGTCCGTTAACCTGTTACATACATATGGTAACTTGTGCATCAAGAGTGTAAAACACCACCATGCGTCAAGCACCTGGCAGGTGTGCCAGACAGCCCTGCCAAAGAAGTCCGAGGTGGTGGATTGGGTGCCAGGGTTTGTGTGTACACAATCTTCAAGAATAATACACATATATATATATATTATATATATATATTATTCTAGATAGACAGATATGTATTTGGAATATTGTCTGCATGCACATGTCTTAAGGCCTGCAGATGTGTAACGGCTACTCCTAAACGGCCGTCAGCTGGGCATACAGGTGGCCCTCGGCAATCCCTGACGGACCCGAACCCTAGCACGAAGCGCTCGGCTGAAGTTCTAAGCGATGCCTTCCGCACAACATGGTGCGTATGTGTTCATTCAAGCGTGTCTTATTCAAAACACATGGTACCCTTAGGCTCTAGCACTTCAACATGCCATGTTCTCGCTAGCACAGTTGAGTTTCCGTATTTGTCGAGGGCATCCAAGTAAATCATGCACTTCAGCATAGTGAAGGAAGCCTCTGAGGTATCTTAGATACTGTCAGGGAAGGTTTGCCAGCCCATCACCGTGATTTAGCTTTGGCTATCTCATGTTGTGTGTGCGTGTGTGTGATACTTGGATGTGTGATCCCACATATTCAATTTGCTCCGAACGTCAATGTTGCGATGTTGGTTGTGGATAGAACACCCAACAAAGCTCATTTTGGTAGAGCGGTTCAACTGCAACCTGTGTAATTGCCGTTGCTGCTTCTGCTGCTCTGCTGCTGCGCTTAACGCAAATTGATTCATCTTAGTCCACTTGTGGGGCTCTCAAAATTACTTCTTGGACCCGGTGGGGAAGCGGACCCAGTGGGGAAGCCATTTAAACCCCGAGTTCGAGGGTCAAAATGTCTCTTTATGGGACCCTGCTTCTGTCTCATATCCAAAACTGATCACGTCCGATCTTTGTCGCGCAGGTCCTGAGGATGCTTGGACGAAGGCGGGTGCGTCTCAGGCGCGTCTCGAGCCAGCTTTCTCCCCAAATCTCCAGCAAGGTGTTTTTGTTGGTTGGACAAAAATCCGTCCAAACACGGCAAAGATAGTACCCAAAGAAGTGCTCCGCTTTCTTCCCATCACAGGCTGCGCCAAACCAGGCACCGGACACCAAACCGGGGAAATGCAAAGCCGGGAGGCGCGGCCCATTTCGCCGGGCTCTGCGCAGGCAGGTCGCGCTTCAGGTCTCTCGCCTGGCACCAGTGACTTGATGTAATGATGTAATGATGTAATGATTTTTTACTCCCTCACCTGCAGTTCTGGATGTAAAATAATTTGCTCCTTGCGCCAGTGTTGCTTTTTTTCGGCCTCTTTCGGCTATGCTCGATCTCGCTGGAAAGCCGCCAGGGCGGTCCTTTGCCACAAAGATGGGGACATGTCCGGAAAGCCCTTCCGGGAAGCGGGATTCCGGTTTCCTCTTGGCAGTCTGGAACCAACACTTCGTGAGTTTCTGGACCTCACTCCGTTTGGAAAGACCATTTGAGTGGTAAACAAATAGTTTGAACTCGTTTCGGCCAATCCACTCAGGAAGTGACAAACGCAACGAACAGGAGCCGACAAAAAGAGCACCTTGCTGAAAGTTTGCATGCCTGCAGCCACTTACACAAGCGGCCAGCCCACAAGCGGAGCCATGGGGGTTGCTTCGCAGCAAAGGGGCCGCGCGTACAGTCTATGGTCAGTTTTGGAGGGACGTCCAAAACCAGAGGAGACTCTTGCTGTGAAATGTGGTCCATAGAGGGTGCACATTTGGGCGGCCTTTGCCATCCATTAAAATGTTCTTAACAGATCTCACACAAGACTTCGACATGTCCAAAATGTGGCTGTAGTCTCTTTCCAGCCGCTTTTTAATTTCCCTTCAAGCCCTCTGTTACCCCCCCCCCCCCAAACCAAAAGGCAGGTTCCCATGGACAAGGGTCAGGCAATCCCCCTCGCTCACCGGCACCGGTCGCCGAGGCGTCTCATGCAGTGGAGCTGATCGCAGAGCATGCCTCCCAGTCCCAGCCGGGGATGCAGAGCCACCTGGCTCGACAGTAGATCCTTTGGTTCACATTTGAGTCACGTCCTTAAAACCCGGGTAGAGTCACGTCCTCAAAACCGATTCGGGTAGATGAAGGTTCGTAAGGGACGATCCCAGCCAGAAACAGCTGCGGAAATCCGCCTTCTTAATGCTTTACATGGTTTTGGGTTCACCATTTTTGTAACGGGTTTTGATTATGAATCATTTGGGTGTGGCTCAAATTAAAGAGCTGGGGACGCGCAGGTGTTGGTCTTTCTAATTTAAACGTGGCTCGAAGTTTGTTCCAGAGCTGGGGACACGCAGGTGTTTTGTTTCCAAGGGGCTCAAAAATGGAGCCACTGCCATTCAGCTCAGAATTCGGGTGATTCGTGGCCGCCACTTGTTGGGTGGTTCCCCAATTCGTAGCCATTGGTCCTGCCAATTTTGTCTCCACGCATAGTAAGGTGTGGGGAGAGGAAATATGAGACAAAATCTGAACATCTGATGTTTGTGGGTTTAGTAACATCTTACATGTTTGCCCTTCCCAGTGCTTCCGGTTACCTGTATAGTTGGTAACCAGCTTGGTTACCTACTATATTGGTATCTGGCCGGTAGTTCCCAGAACCACACAAAAGGCTACACAATAGAGGGCAGAACCGTGAAACAGAGTGCCGGAACCGTGAAATAGGCGGGTGGGAGCCGTGAATTGGGAGGCCGGAACCGTGAACACCGCGAGATTGGAATCTGGTTCCTACTTGTTTGGGAACCGAGCTTAATTCCAGAAAAATTGGTATCCAGGGGCCAGCTCCTGCCATACAGGTAACCAGGAAGCGCTGGGCTTGACAATGAACAAACTTCAAGTTGAAGGTTGACCAGAAGTCGATTGTCTAGCCCCTCATGTTATTGGCTGTTCAAAGGCAGTCCAGTATCCAGGATTTGTAAACTCTTAATTTTGAAGAGAGTTTGGTTGATCTCAGATGAGTGGAAACACTCGAACCCGAATGGGCTGATTTGCCTTGTGCCCTTTGGCAAACCCTGAATGTTGATATTTGTGAGACACACCCAAATGTTCGGATCGTGCTGAAACATCATTCTTGGCTGACTGACAGCCCATGTTAGGGCTGATGATTTAAGCATCTGTCAAAGGTGCTCTTCTGTGGGGACGCTTTGAAAGCGAAATCAGAAGAAAATCGCGTATTCTTGCCGATCTTGTAGTTTTGGCACATGCACACTTCAGGGGCCAAGCTGTCTGATTTGTCTTGTGACTATCTGAGGCATCATTTCGGGGCCACTGGATGAACTTGACCCACCGGTCACTCCAGAAGAAGCCTTTGAAGAATGTCTCGCGCTCTTGAAGCAAGCTGGCAGCATCTGGCGGTTCTCGGCTTTTCGATTTCCGGTGCACGAAAAAGACACTTCATCTTCGACCGCAGTCTGTTTCTCAGTGAATCCATTTGTCACGTTTTCAGGGAACCAAGGAATCACCCTTCACAGGCACCCCAAAACGGCTGGTTACCTGCGGAAAAAACAACAACAAAAAAGCCAGGGCCTGTCTCCGATCGGGTGCAGGCATGTCTCCGGTTTGGCTCTCAGGTATCCCCTGGATTCAGCGTCCGAATCGCTTCTGAAGGAGTTGAGCCTGAAGGAGACAGATGATTGCAACTTTACGCTCAAGGCCTGGTTGCACATTGGTCTAAACCAACCCTCGCCTGGAAGCCAGGTTTGGTAAATCGTTTTTTTCGCAACCGATACGCTTGCAAAGTTGGTCTAACCCCCCAAGAGAAATTGAATCCATGTGTTGCCAGCTGAACCCTGCAGGTCATTTTGGACGGCAAGAAGCTGGATGGCTACGGCGGCCTGGTTTGCGATCGCACGCCTGCCCCGGTTGTTTTTTTTCCACTGGGTTGGCGGTGGGAAAAAAACCAGCTCATGATCCTTTTGAGGGGTCTTCCGTGTGTAGACTTGGGTGGGGTAGAAAAGTTCAAGATCCGCTTTCCAGTTAGCCAAGCCTAGGCTATGGAAAGGGCGATGGCACAGACAGAGTGAGGAATTGGAAGAAGGTGTCGGCTGATCGCTCCAAGCTTCGCATCACCTGTGTGGATTATGTGGACGAGGGCAAGATGGGAGCATGGGTCACTGACGCCAAAGAGGAGGGATCGGAGCCGGTGACGACGGCCAAATCACGTTTGGGTAGAGGTATGTATCAAAATACGGAGACCCCCAAAATGCTGGCTGTTTGCTTGATTCCCTTCAAGGCATACCCCAAAAGTAATTTTGAAAAAACACCCACACACACACACTATCCACACACACACACACGGAATTCATTGGTCTTGGTCCGTCCCCTGAGCCGAAGGGTCGCAGGAGCCAATCACCCAGTGCGTCGTCAACATGTTGAAGGATCCCGGGCAGATTGAGTTCTGCTTGGACAGGAAGGGCCAGCGAAGAGCAGATCCCAAGTTCAGGGATGGACTCTACGCCTGGTCTGATGCAATCATCGGGTCCGTGCAGGCACAGAAGCGTGCGAAGGTGAAGGTGCAGCCGGATGCTCCATCCATCCAAGAGAAGGGCCTCAAGAGCATGGTCTCAGAGCCAATGGATGAGCATGTCAGTTATGACAATTTTTTCCCTCAGCTGGTGAAGGCCGTGAAGACCCTCATTTCTGGGGATTCTGGGCTGCAAGAGGTGCTGGCTCATTCTGTTCAAAACATTGCCCAGAGGCTCACTAGACACAAAGCTGACAGTTCTTTGTGGAATCGAATCTAAGGTGCCCAAAATCAGCGTCGAGGAGGTCTCTGACGAGGAGCTTCGGGGAACCGCAGTGGACGAGAAGGGTGAGGCCGGGAGTGTCGTCGGGGAGCCTGCCACTTAAGTGGGTGTGCTGAACATTTGGCCGGCGTGTGTGTGCAGTGCTGAGCGGGTGCACGGGAAAACTGCGTTTTGATCCGCAGAATATCTGAGCCGTGGGCCAACTATTTAACTAGCAAGCTAGATAGGCAGCTCGTCAACGGGGTAGGGGTCAAAATTAAGCCACCAGGGGACCGCAGGTGTTAGTCCATGTTTCCACTTACCAGAAGATTTTTCGCTCCCGCCAACCAGCTCGCTCACTCGCCCAAGTAGCTACCAGGGAACTTATATTGCTGTGAATCAATAGGTTTTCCACTGGACCTGGCGGTAAACACCGGACGCGAGGAACCCTCATGAGCTTTTAGTCTACTTAGAGCCTTTGCTGTGATGCTCATCGTGTGAAACTCAGGTGATATCATCAACGGCAGGAGGCACAAATAAGCGAGAAGTCGGAACGGCCCCGCACATTCCCTGAACCCTGCATTTTGCGAACACTTCCCGTTTTATAAACTTTTAGATACTTCTTCGGTAGCCAGCTATTTAGCTGGTTAGCCGATGAGCAAGCAAAGATTAACCGGGTGCCCACGCCAAAGTCCGCAGATCACAATCTGATGCTTGCCCGATCTGTTGAATTTCAGCCCTCCGAAAGTCTGCAGAGGGCTTACCACTTGTTGCGAAGCAGTGCACGCGGTCAGCGGCCGATGGGTCAGCGGCCGAGTCCGTTCTAGACTCCGACCGTTCCCCAGCTCCCACGATTTCATCATGTTTTTCACCTTTCGCGCGCTATATGTATACGTGCATATGAGTCTTAGTTTAGTATTATTGCCAGTTCTGAATCTAGAACTGCCAAAAGGCTTCTTTGTAGCCTTTGCGCAGCAAAGGCTTGGACAGCATCACCCTTTAAAAGTAAAAGGCTAGGGCGTTGATGTGGGATTTGTTCCTCGAAACTCAGTTGCCAGTGCCATTAACGAGTACCCCAAAACAGTCAGACCAAAGAGGATTAGGGGCTCTTGTGAGCTATCCCTTTAATTGAGTACGGTTTAATATATATTCACAAATCTAGATTAATAATTGTCAAGACTTAATATTAGATTCCCAGTACTTAGTTCAGTATTGCCAAATCTTAATTTAATATCGCCATAACTTTGTCCGAGCCAAGGACACCCAAAAAGCCAAACAACAAATAAACAACAAGGAACAACTAAAAATAATGATAATAATACACATGGATTACACGGGTACACAAAACAAACGAACAAAAACAGCTTCCAGAGGAAGAATGTCAGCCAGATACCCTTTCCTCAGAGCGTTTGTTTTTGTTGTTGTTAATATATATATATATATGTATATGATATATGTATACACATAAGTCATCTTCTTTGTCTGTCTTGTTGTTTTCGGTGTTTGTCGTGTGTTTTGGGTTTTGTCCAGGGATTGCAGCTTCCAGAGTAGAGCCCGCAGCTTCCAGATTGCCTTATTGCCGTTGGAATTGCGCCTGCAAAGCCCCCAAAAAGGCAGAACACACCGCACATTTTGAGAACAATCATGCTCATCGAAATTAACATCCAGTCCTTTCCTTTCCTTGCCATGTGCTTGTGAAATTCTGTGCACATCATCATTGTCAGAATTGAATCAAGCTTAGCATCGAATTGGCAAATTTACATCGCTCTTTGATCATGAAACCCAATGGAATGTCAAAAGGGTTCCCTGCCCTTGAATCCTACTAACTGACAATGAAAAAGCACCATTTGAAAGGAGAGCCTTCTTAGATTGTTGTTTGGAGTAGTCATCCAATTCAATTTTAACAATCATTCCATTTCCGTATTCAATCCCGTTCAAATCCTGAATGGAATCCTTTTTTCATCAAATGTGGAATGGACTTCATTTCTGTCTAAATTACTTCCATTGCAAGCGTGCCCGGGATTTGAAATCAGCCAGCCAGCCGAGAGGTGTCTGGCCGATAGATGGACAGATATATTATATTGTGAATAGATCGATAGCCAGACACGCAGGAACACGGATAGCTAGCATGATAGACAGAAGGACCGAAAGCTAGGATAGAATGGGGTGGGATAGGACAAGATAGGATAGGATAGGATAGGAGAGATAGGGTAGATTAGATAGATTACATAGATTAGATAGATTAGGTAGATTACACTGGTGAGTTGGATGCATGATATTAAATTCATTAGACAGATTCAATAGATTAGATAGATTGGGTAGATTACAGTTGATGGATAGTAAGTTGGATAGACTACATAGATGCTATAGATAAGATAGACGATGTAGATAAGATCGAGATATATGATAGATAAGTAAGATAAGGTAAAATATAATAATATTACGTTCGATTGCAGCCAGGCAGGCAGGGAGACAGGCAGGCAGGCAGGCAGGTTGGCAGGCAGGCAGACAGACAGACAGATAGAGATAAAGACAGATAGGCAGGCAGGCAGGCAGGCAGGCAGGCATGCAGGCAGGCAAGTAGGCAGGCGGGCAGGCAGGCCGGCAGGACAGACAGACAAACAGGTAGGCAGGCAGACAGTCAGACAGACACCGACAGACAGACAGATAGAGACAGACAGACAGACAGACAGACAGACAGACAGGCAGGCAGACAGTCAGACAGACACCGACAGACAGACAGATAGAGACAGACAGACAGACAGACAGACAGGCAGACAGACAGACAGACAGACACAGACAGAGATAGATGGATATTCGTGAATTCGATAGATACATGATTCGACAGATAGATATAAAAAGATAGATCATGGGCGAATGAATGCACACATAGATAGGAAGGCAGCTAAGGAAGGAAGGTAGATGCACATGAATCGCATTTTTGCGTAGACAACTTGCACAGAAAGCACACATGGTCTCAGCCGCGCTTCATCTCCGGTTGTAGATCCATTGAAATGGTTTTGAAGATCTATTCAATGTCAAATTTGGACAACACTCGCTGCTTGTCTTATTTGACTTGATGTTTCATTAAACACCATTGAACATCATAAGTGGGAAGGACATCCCATTTACATTCCAGTTTCCAAGTTTAAGCTACATCCAATTTAGACAGATTGGACTCGTATTTTAACGCCTCCGGCTCAGGCCGCCGACATTACAGGCCTGCTTTCTTATTTGCGTCCCTTTGGAATTGTCCACTTGCCCCCTTCCCCTCTGAGATTTTTGCCCCCCTTTCTTTGTTGAGATCCATTCCCCCTTTCCGCCCTAAGGCCTTTTCTCCCTCTGATTTTTCCCTTTCCTCCCTAAGATGTTTTCCCCCCTCTCCCTGTTGAGATCCTTTCCCCCCTTTCCCCCCTAAGGCCTTTTCCCCCCTGAGATCTTCTCCCTTTTCCTCCCTTTCCCCCACTTCCCCCCCTACGGCCTTTTCCTCCCTGGGATCTTTTTCCTTTCCTCCCTGAGATCTCCCCCCCTTTCCCTGTTGAGATCCTTTCCCCCCTTTCCCCCCTACGGCCTTTCCCCCCGCTGAGATCTTCTCCCTATTCCTCCTTAAGATCCTTTGCCCCCGTTGAGATCCTTTCCCCCCTTCCCTTTAAGGCCTTTCCAGATCTTCTCCCTTTTCCTTCCTAAGATTGTTTCCCGCCTTTCCCTGTTGAGATCCTTCCCACCCTTTCCCCCCTCAGGCCTTTCCCCCCCCTGAGAGCTTCTCCCTTTTCCTTTCCTTCCTTAGATCTTTCCCCCCTTTCCCTGTTGGCCTTTTTCTCTCAGATCTTCTCCCTTTCCTCCCTAAGATCTTTTCCACCCCTTTCCCTGTTGAGATCATTTCTCCCCTTTCCCCTCTACGGCCTTTGCCCCCAGATCTTCTCCCTTTCCTCCCTAAGATCTTTCCCCCCCTTTCCCTGCTCAGATCCTTTCCCCCCTTTCCCCCCTAAGGCCTTTCCCCCCCTGAGATCTTCTCCCTTTTCCTCCCTAAGATCTTTTGCCACCTTTCCCTGTTGAGATCCATTCCCCCTTTCCCCCCTAAGGCCCTTTCTCCCTCTGAGTTTTTCCTTTTTCCTCCCTACGATGTTTTCCCTCCTCTCCCTGTTGAGATCCTTTCCCTCCTTTCCCCCCTAAGGCCTTTTTTCCCCCCGTGATCTTCCCCCTTTTCCTTCCTAAGATCTTTTCCCCCCTTTCCTTGTTGAGATCCTTTCCCGCCCTTTCCCCCCTAAGGCGTTTTCCCCCCCAAGATCTTCTCCCTTTTCCTCCCTAAGATCCTTTGCCCCCTTTCCCTGTTGAGGTCCTTTCCCCTCTTTCCCCCCTAAGGCCTTTCCCCCCCTGAGATCTTCCCCCTTGTCCTCCCCAAGATCTTTTCCCTTGGTTGAGATCCTTTCCCCCTTTCCCCCCAAGATCTTCTCCCTTTTCCTCCCTAGGATCCTCTCCCACCCTTCCCTGTTGAGCTCCTTTCCCCCTTTTCCCCCTAAGGCCTTTTCAGATCTTCTCCCTTTTCCTCCCGAAGATCCTTTGCCCCCTTTCCCTGTTGAGATCCTTTCCCCCTTTCCCCCCTAAGGCCTTTTCCCTGCATGGGACCTTCTCCCTTTCCTCACTGAGATCTTTCCCCCCCTTCCCTGTTGAGATCCTTTCCCTCCTTTCCTTCCTAAGGCCTTTCCCCCCGCTGAGATCTTCTCCCTATTCCTCCTTAAGATCCTTTGCCTCCTTTCCCCGTTGAGATCCTTTCCCTTCTTCCCTTTAAGGCCTTTCCAGATCTTTTCCCTTTTCCTTCCTAAGATTGTTTCCCCCCTTTCCCTGTTGAGATCCTTCCCACCCTTTCCCGCCTAAGGCCTTTCCCCCCTGAGAGCTTCTCCCTTTTCCTTCCTTAGATCTTTCCCCCCTTTCCCTGTTGGCCTTTTTTCCCCCAGATCTTCTCCCTTTCCTCCCTAAGATCTTTTCCACCCCTTCCCTGTTGAGATCATTTCTCCCCTTTCCCCTCTAAGGCCTTTGTCCCCAGATCTTCTCCCTTTCCTCCCTAAGATCTTTCCCCCCCCCCTTTCCCTGCTGAGATCCTTTTCCCCCTTTCCCCCCTAAGGCCTTTCCCCCCCCTGAGAGCTTCTCCCTTTTCCTTCCGAAGATCTTTTCCCCCCTTTCCCTGTTGGGCTTTCCCCCCTAAGTCCTTTTCTCCCAGATCTTCTCCCTTTCCTCCCTAAGATCTTCCCCCCCCTTTCCTCCCTAAGATCTTTCCCACCCTTTCCCTGTTGAGATCCTTTCCCCCCTTTCCCTCCCAAGGCCTTTCCCCCCCCTGAGAGCTTCTCCCTTTTCCTTCCTAAGATCTTTTCCCCCCTTTCCCTGTTGGGCTTTCCCCCCTAAGTCCTTTTCTCCCAGATCTTCTCCCTTTCCTCCCTAAGATCTTCCCCCCCCCCCTTTCCTTCCTAAGATTGTTTCCCCCCTTTCCCTGTTGAGATCCTTCCCACCCTTTCCCCCCTGAGGCCTTTCCCCCCCTGAGAGCTTCTCCCTTTTCCTTCCTTAGATCTTTCCCCCCTTTCCCTGTTGGCCTTTTTTCCCCCAGATCTTCTCCCTTTCCTCCCTAAGATCTTTTCCACCCCTTTCCCTGTTGAGATCATTTCTCCCCTTTCCCCCCTAAGGCCTTTGTCCCCAGATCTTCTCCCTTTCCTCCCTAAGATCTTTCCCCCCCCCCCTTTCCCTGCTGAGATCCTTTTCCCCCTTTCCCCCCTAAGGCCTTTCCCCCCCCTGAGAGCTTCTCCCTTTTCCTTCCTAAATCTTTTCCCCCCTTTCCCTGTTGGGCTTTCCCCCCTAAGTCCTTTTCTCCCAGATCTTCTCCCTTTCCTCCCTAAGATCTTCCCCCCCCCCCTTTCCTCCCTAAGATCTTTCCCACCCTTTCCCTGTTGAGATCCTTTCCCCCCTTTCCCTCCCAAGGCCTTTCCCCCCCTGAAGATCTTTTCCCCCCTTTCCCTGTTGGCCTTTTTTCCCCAGATCTTCTCCCTTTCCTCCCTAAGATCTTTTCCACCCCTTTCCCTGTTGAGATCATTTCTCCCCTTTCCCCCCTAAGGCCTTTTTGCCCCAGATCTTCTGCCTTTCCTCCCTAAGATCTTCCCCCCCCCCCCCCCAGTTCCCTGTTGAGATCATTTATTTCCCCCCTTTTCCTTCTAAGGCCTTTTCCCACCCTCAGTTCTTCTCCCTTTTCCTCCCAAAGATCTTTCCCCCCCTTTCCTCCCTAAGTCCTTTTCCCTGAGTTCGTCTCCCTTTGCCTCCCTAAGATCTTTTCCCCCCTTTCCCGCTTAAGATCCTTTCCCCCGTTTCCCCCCTAAGGCCTTTTCCCCCCAAGATCTCCACCCTTCTCTTCCCAAAGTCTTTTTCCCCCTTTCCCGTTTGAGATCCTGTCCCCCCATTGCCCCTTAGGGCCTGTTCCCCCCGAGAAAGATTTCCATTTTCCTCCCAAAGATCTTTTCCCCCCTTTCCCCCTTAAGGCATTTTTTCCCCAGATCTTCTCCCTTTCCTCCCTGAGATCTTTCCCCCCCTTTCGCTGTTGAGATCCTTTCCCCCTTTCCCCCCTTCATTTCCTTCACCAGCATGGGCAACATCCCCAGCATCACTTGCATCATCCGCATCCTTGGCAGGCGCTGATGCGGATGATGCAGGTGATGCTGGCGATGTGCCGCTGGAGCTGCTGAGGATGCGAAAGCGCACCCGGGGGGAATCGAACACCCCACTGTTTTTGACAAACTGAGTTGCGCAAGCCCGCACAATGAACAGATTTAGTGAAGCGTCTTCGAATCACCGCGTGGTACCCCCGCAATAGTCCAGAAATGGTGCCCCTGGGGAGGGGTTAGGGGAGGGGTAACAGGTAAAGAGGTAAGGAGCATTTTTGTGTCCACGCCGTCTGTTGTCGGCGGATTTCTAGTTGCGCTTCTATTCAAAGCTAGATTTGGAGAACTACTTCTGGTGAAGTTGCTATTGCAAGAACAACACAAACTCAGTTTGGTTTCACTGTCTTATCTGATTCCGTTTGCATCTTAATTAAGCACGCGCCGAGGCAAGCCAATGAGAGGAAAGGGTTTCAAGAAACATGGAGCAGGCACCATGACATAACATCTGGCATGATGCGTTTCGTTTTGTTCCTTCAATGGTTGCCCTAGAAAGTGGTCGGTGCAATATTGGATCTTGGACCCACACGACACAATTTGTTGGTTTTGCAACAACCTCTCAAACAAGGGACTTTGGGGGCTAGATGGGGCTAGCCACGATTGAAGAACCTCTGAAATGTTTTTTGTAGAATCTTGATTCTCCAATCTTCGATCCACTGTTTAAGCAACTTGCATATTGAGAACCTTCTTGTTCGACTTGAACAGTGCCCAGTTTGACCCGGCTTCTTGAAGGGCAACCATTGAAGGCGTAAGCGCTGAAAAGCACCGCAAGCTCCAATATTTTGCATATTGCGGCTACACACGCTAGAAACGGTATAAAGACAGACATGATGGGGTGCCAGGAATAGGAATGGCCTGTTAACGGGTGGTTTTAAGCATCACCGTTTGATCCACTTTGAACCAGTTTTCTTTGGGTTGATGGTTAAACTGCTTGAAGTCATGGCCCTTGTATACCCCCCTTTCAACATGATATTTGGAGGTGACGACCCGGATTTTTTTCCTCCACGTTGCGGGGCAAAACCAACAAAATCTGTGGAGACACCCCCGCTGCCTTTGTATGCTTGTCCTATCTTGCCCTGCTTGCATCCTTTGCAATGCCACTTGAATGGTAAAGGTGAGGGGTAGAGTAGATGATTCCAAGCTTGTTTCTGTCATTTCTGTGGGTTGCAGAGATGCTCTACCGGCATTATCTTCGGCTTCCATTCACCACTTTTTCTGGGAAGACCAATGCTTTTGTCTCAGAGTTCGGGGATCCGAAGGACGGGGTTGGTTTCCTTTGGTTTTTCTTCACAGCCAACGCAAACAAATGGGTATGCCTAGGACTGCCGGACAACCACCAATGATTGGTGCCCATGTGGCTTCCGCTTAAACCAATCCAAAACATACCCAAGTTCTCACTGGGGACCAATTGGGTATGAGTCAAAATTACACCACCAGGGGACCGCAGGTTTTAGTCTATGCTCCCGTTTGCCAGGGTTCTATTTTGGGGTTACCCAGTTTTTGACCCATACTACCCAATTCACCCACCCCCTCTTCTGGCGCTTTCGCCAGACCACCACGCACGCGGTGAAGTTCTCCCAGTCGGCCGGGACGCTCTGTTGGACGATCACCGCTGGCGACAAGGCGCCTCGGTCGAAGCCTGGCCTCCGCAGCTGAGCCACGTCCTCAAACCCGGGTAGATTTGTAGGTTGGTAAGGGACAATCCCAGCCATAAATAGCTTCGGATATCCGCCTTCCCAATTCTGTACGTGGTTCTGGGTAGACCATTTTAATACCGGGTTTTGATTGTGACTCAGCTTCCAAAGGGTTCCGAGAGCTTGCGCAGAAGGAGCACTGTATGTATCATGTGTGTAGGGGCCACACACACACACACACGCACACACCGCACCGCACACCACACACTTCCCTGCACTACCGCGCCACGCCACGCCACACCACACCACAATGGTGAGCTTCCTCTCAATTGTTTCCTGTAAAAACCGCTCCAAAAGGGGTACACCATCAGTTTTGGGCGCCGAGGTGATGTCGCAAATGCATCGTGTGGTCCACCGGGACCCTCTGGTGATGGAGGCAATGACTTCGTTGGCTGAAATGAAGGGGTTGTCAAAGTTTGGGCTCCCCTTTGTAGTTCCTGGAGTTTACATATTTTGGGAAGACCATTTTAGTGGTAAACACAAAGCTTGCGCTTTTCTTGGCGAATCCATTCAAGCGAGTTGTTGCACCCTTGGTGGTAGTCAAAAGTTGAATTTAGAACCTCCCATTGTTTGGATTCGTTTTGATCTGTGTGCGGGGGGAGGCCCTTTAAAACCAAGGTCCGCAAATTTGACCCCGTCGTATGCTCTGTTTTGTAGATAGACGCACTGCATTTTGTTTGCACTGGCGCGGTCACCGCAGGCATGGGACATTGGCCCGGATGGAGCTCGCTCGTGCGGCATTTCGAAAGCGAAACAGATGCAGAAGAACATCAATGACGCTATCGAGAAGGCTCACAACCTTCTAGCAAGTAAGCAACGGGCGGGCCATTACCAGGTGGTTGGCATGTTGTGGTCCCCTATCGGTTTTGTAGATTGATATTTTGTTTTTTGGTTGTCATTGTCCGTATCAGTTTATGATTTTACCCAGTTGATCGCAGGCTTGTGTCGCCACTCAGTACCCTTGGTCATGTTCTCTGTTTTGTTTTGTTTTTTTTAGGATGGGAAACCCCTTGGTTTCCTGCAAACACGTGGCAAGTGGATTTGCACTTGCGCGGCATCAGGGGCAACAAAGCTGGGAGCTTGTGGACCTCTTTCTTTTTGCAAGTAGTTGCTCTCTTGAGAGCTCGATTAGTTTGTTTTTCTGTTTTTTCTTGTTCGAATTGCAGCACTTTGGGCCTTTGGGTGTTTGATGAGAAACGAGAAGAGAACGATCCATTTTAAGAGGACCGATTTTGCGCAATTCTCGTGAGTGCCAGGCCAACAGTTGGTTTGGCTGAGGGCAGCCAAATGGCAACTTTTGATGGCGCTGACGATGCTCGCGCTGAAGCCAGAGGGGACATGTTAGTGTGTTCCCAAGTCCTTTCTGCTCCGAGCCTCTAGATGACCAATCCTGGAATACAAACTTGTTTAGTTTCCTTTGATTTGCCCTCATGTCTACCCTTGTCCCAGTGTCTTTGGAGCAAGCCTCTTGCAGCAAGCTTGACGCCTTGACAGTCAAACTGGCCGCAAGAAGGCCGGGTCAAGCGTGCTTTGGAAGTAGTGCATCAGATTTTAGTGGGTTGCCACGCGCAAAATCGGCCGAGCGAATGAAGCACATGGTGCGCCACAAGGCCCCCTCGCCGAGATTCTGACTGCTGGCTTGCAGGGCTTCTCAAAAGATGCACATGTCCGACATTAAAAGCATAACGCCTTTTTCACGAGACCATGTTGGGGGGGGAAGTTCATCATATAAGAACCCCTGTTTAGATAGGGTCAACATATCCAGAAGTATGGTCAGTTTGGGGGGCATGGGGACATTTCTAGTTTCTTTTATGGGAAATTAGCATCGGCAGCATCGGCCATGCTCCTAAAGCGGGGCTGGGGCGACCCCTTGTCCAAGTAGGTTTAAGTCCACTGGTTGATGCAAACAATCGGATTCTTAGAATTATGATGAAACCCTCGATAATGACTATACGGCTCGCAGGAGGGAGCGGTGCTCAAAAGTAGCACTCGGCCAGACTTTAAGCTGAATGGGTGTTTCCTCTAATTGGTGGCCGAAATTGGTGGTTTCTCAGTGTTTTCCCCATCAGGAGGTGCAAGTGTCTAATTTTGGGGCCGCATGTTGGCGAATGCGTCTAAAGGCTTGATCTGGCCGTATTTGAAGGGAAAACTGATGTATCCCATGCCCGGGTGAAATACAGAAACCACTGGCAAAATGTCTGGGACATCGCGAGAGACGCCCTGAATAGACCACAAGATTGCAGCATGCATCCCCCGCACGCCGGGTTGCCGATGTTTGGATGAGGTAAACACACAGTGGTTTCTGGTTACATACTTGACCCCCAACTGGACAGTTGGGGACAGCAAACCTATGAGCTGGGCGTCTCCTGGGCCATGGGCCATGGGGCATGCTATCCCCTTGAAACGGCGGCAAAGGGCACCAGGGTCCAAAGGCTGCTTGCTTCAGACTCAAAGGTTGCCAGGGGACTGCCATGTTGCGATATGTTCGGACTTCTGGTTGCTTTCCAAGCAAGATGCTTGTGACTCACATGCGGTCAAACGACCCTTTCAGGTGTTAGAGATGGTCAGCAACCTTTAAAGAGGAGGAAACTCGGACACAGAATTGCTGAAATTTAAGGAATGTCGAATTTAGTGGACAAGTGAAACCTCCAGATGGGGGTACGGGATTTTGACCCACAGCCGTGTGTCACAGACTTTTCCCGGGAATGGCCCGTCGCTTTGCAAGGCTGCTGGGCAGCTGCTGCCATTCTTCCTGAACGGCTCCTTACCGAGCTACTCCCAAGAGGCCACGGCCACGCCCATTGGGGGTGTTTGGGCTCGTATGTTTGCTTGTTACCACCTTCTGGTGTATGTTTATGTCCTTTTGCATCGCATAACACATCTTTAGCGTAACTAGCGTATAAGCTACACATGGCAAGCGCGATGTCAACCATTGTTCTAGATGTTGAGCTTGCGGTTGGTTTTATTTAGTTTGCCATGTCACATGTCAAGCTAGAAGTATCTAACGCGTGTCTTATATTAATAGTTTGCTTTAGCGTGTTTGCTTGTGGTGTAGCTCTGTCACAAGTCCAGTTTTTTTCTGGCATTTGCCCAGGCTTAAAGATTCCCCCTGCCGTGTTCTCAGAGCATGTTCCCTCACCAGGAGGAGAAGGGTAGCGGCTACCGTTCTTCACTTTCTAGGATCCTTGGGGATACATCAGTTTTGCGTGTGCAGATGAGACACCCCCGCCTCTCCACCCGCAGGGTGCGGCTTCAAAGTGCAGGGTCGCCTCTTACGCGCAAGGAAGGAAACCGCAAGGTCTATGTCGAGACATCCCCTCCCTAAGATTATGGAAGCTGACAATCGGGTTTTGGAAGCCCCGAAACGTCCAATGGACGCTGACAGGATGGCTTTGGGAAGCCCCACGTCCACTTCCATAGGCGTCCTTTTCGGTTGGTTTGCTTAATAAGTAGAAGGCCCTGGTTCACCTGGTGGCTCCATCATCTACCAAGGTCATCTATTTTCCAAGAAGGGCACCTATGTCCACTTCCAACCAGAGGGATGAGCAAACCCCACACCCGGCGGCCGCCGCAGCGATGACTCCGGCGATCAGGAGAAGCTGCGGGCGCTGAGCTATGCCGCAGCCGCGCCTCAGGCGGCCAAGAAGGCACGGCCCGTGACTCTGGGTGCGCTCACCTCACTCCACGTTCCTGGACTTCGAAAACATGTTTGGGAAGAGGCAAGTGGGTGGTGAGTAAAAAGGTTGGGCCTTTTTTTGGCCAATCCACGCAGGAAGTGAGGATGCAAAAGGGGTGAACAATGGGAACAAATGGTTGGCGGACAGAAATCCCTATCTAAATGATTGTCCACCAAGGGATTCCTTGCACAAATTCACACCGAAAGTGAAATCATCCACTTCCCACCGTCCCTCGTTCCCCAAGCCGTTTGTGAACCGAAGCCCTGGGGATCTGAAACTCTTTCGACTATGGGCCCAGCCAACAGGGTTTTTGTTGGTTTAGTTTAGCCTCGGCGAATGCCAAGTCCAAGCGACCCAACAAGTGTCTGCAGTGGACATAATGAGCCCTTCCAGAACTTGACGTGGCTTCTAGGCACGCCAAGAAGCACACCTACCAGTTCCTTGGGGGTTCCGAGCCATGCGCTTCCTTAGGTTTTTAGCTTTTTAGGAATTAGTGATAGTTTTCATTTAACCCACCAACGACTGCCCCTCGCCAGAGGAAGCATTTTGCAGTTTTTTCAAGGGCCCCGTCTATTTTGAGACACCATGTTCATGTTTTGGAGTATACGCGTACTTCACTTACAGAGCAAAAGAAGTGATATCGACTTTTTGTCGGGGGTCCAGCCAACAATTCCCCTTGCCCAATGCTTCCAGTTGCCACCATGGTAGGGAGTCACAATGTGGTATATTCACAATGGTAATTGGAAGCACTCGGAGTACTTTGAGGCAGACCCGCAAAATCCGAGGATGAAGTGAGCCCAACGATCAGCCCTGACCCCTACATAGGTCCCCAAAAGAAGGCTCGTGTTAAACGACGGGCTTTTCATGTCTCATGTCCACAAGCCCATTTGACGCCCCGTCTATACCCTCTGACGCGAAGAGTTCAAACTGCGACCGCGCAGTCTCTGCACCGGACGCTCGCTGCGCTTCCAAGGCGCGGCTTTGTGAATGGTTCTTGCCCATGTTCCATTTGCTTAAGAATAGGTTTTATTTTTTCCCGTGTTGGTTTTAAAAGGAGTTTATCACTATTGGAACTATAAAAAAAAAGAAACAGGGGTCTTAACCAAATGGAAGCCATGCTTCAGGCTTTGATGACTTTGGGACCTGCTACAGAAGCCCAAGAAAATTGAGTCAGAGGGGTGGGCGAATCTTGCAACGGGTCTCGAAATCAGCCGCCTATGGCGAGCGATCAGCCTGACATGGCCAGGCGGCAGGAGATCATGGAATTCGAACAGTTCCATTTGAGCCGTTGATCTGCTCCATGTCATTCTGAGGCGATGGATAAGCCCTTGCGCAGATTCACAGGGAACATCAAAACCATTCTTTGTAGAGATGTTCGGCTCCTACTTTGTGGGATTCCACGCGAATTTGCCGCAGGTTACCTGTTAGCTGGGGGCCTCCTGCAAACATAGTTCATGTTTTGGGGTATAGATGAAATATGCTACACAATTTGAACATATTCTTTTTGGTGTACCCCAGAGGTGCGCCAAGCTTGAGGGCTGCGCAATGCAGATTGCCAGGACCAGCATTCGTCGGGCACTGGACGCCATGTGACTCGCTTGAGTGATCCGGGCTTGGTTCGAAGGGTTTGGACACTCCAAAGCGCCCGGTTTCTCTCTCAATATAAATGGGCAATGTGTAGTCCTGTCCCATAGTCATGAGGCAGTTTGGTTTAATAGCACGACCCCATTCTAAGCAGCAACAGGTGGGACCCTTTCCACCAACCACAAGTGGGTCGGGACCCTTCAGAAAAGGTCGGCTCCCAAGGCCCCAACTAGGGATGGTCCTGGCAACAGACCCACTGACTGCCAGGTTCACGATTGTGGTAAGGCTGCCTCTTCGGGTCAATAAATTCATGCTGGGACGCCCTTGAAGGTGAAGAAAAAGTAGTCATGGGCCGGATCCATTGAATCCATGGTATCGCAGAGGGGTGAGTGTCCAGAAGTGGCCAGTTTCACATAGATCGCCTCCGGCTTTCACAGGTGCTGTTCGGCCAAACTGTGCCAAACACCTGTGCAGACTGAGGGCTGTGCTCTCGTCGAAGTCTTTCAAAGGGCTCCTAGCTTTCGCCAGGCCGTCGCAGCGAGCCCCGTTTAGGGAAGGCACACGCCGCCCTGAAAGCGAGGGCAGGGAGTTTCACGGAGAAAAGTGCAGGTCTTTGAGCCGGCCATGCTATCATTCTGGTTGAATCATTACGACTTCACTCGACCTCACCCCAAATGGTGGTTTATGCGGGGAATAGCCCCAGAACCACCTTATGTCAGGTTGGTGAAATATTATAATTCACCCAGATGATAGTGCTTGGTTCGATCAGTGGTCCACTCACGAAGCATCTATTGGGCGAATCCCCCAAGAGTCGCTTTTCGACGAGCTGTGCTCATGGGTTACTTATCAGTGGCTGCATTGGGCGCATTGAATCAACGCTCAAGCTTGGATCCAGCCAGGGCGCGTCGCCTTGCCGGCTTTGCTCTCGCAGAAGTCCCATTGAAAAATGACGTTTGAAACATCGACTTTCAAAGTGGGAAGATATATCGGTGGGGGGGGGATATTTTACAGAAAGCGCCCCGCTCTCATATTTTAAGGGAAGCTTTTGGAAACATCTGTAAGCGTGACAGCCTTCCATGCTTCGAGCCTGCAGACTGCTTCGGGACCCATGTCTGACCCTCAGACATAAGTTTGG